TTGATACTTTTTAATTGATAGAATGGCTGGCCCATCCTCTGATCAGAATAATATTGCTCAGAAAACATGGGAGCTCTCAAATTGCATCGAGAGTATCAGCAGCATGGATGAAATTTACAGATATGACAGGAAAGAACAACAAGATATATTAATTGCCAAACCATGGGAGAAAGAGTAAGTATTTACTTAATCAATATATATATATATATACACACACACACACACACACACAAGAGCTAAAAGCATTATTATAATCATATATTTTCCTATTAGCCCTCATTTCTTCAAGGATATAAAAATATCTGCATTAGCTCTCTTAAAAATGGTCATGCATGCACGATCTGGTGGTACACTAGAAGTAATGGGCCTTTTGCTTGGTAAAGTAGCAGCAAATACGATGATTGTGATGGATTCTTTCGCATTGCCAGTCGAGGGAACCGAAACTAGGGTAAACGCTCAAGCTCAAGCTTACGAATATATGACAGCATATATAGAAGCAGCTAAACAAGTACGTACATGTTCTTCATAATAGAAAGTATTTTGTGACGATAGGAAAATATTGCAATAAGTTCAGCTAAAAATAACAAACTTATTTACTTTTTAGGTTGGTAGATTAGAAAATGCAATTGGCTGGTATCATAGTCATCCTGGATATGGTTGCTGGTTATCCGGTATTGATGTATCCACTCAAATGCTCAATCAAAATTTCCAAGAGCCGTTTGTCGCGATTGTTATTGACCCAGTGAGAACCATCTCCGCTGGCAAAGTCTGCCTTGGGGCATTTAGAACTTATCCTAAGGTATAGCTTAGGTCATAATGTCTGAGTATTAAAATCAATCATTCTAGGAAGAATAAGAGATACATTTATTTTGCTTCTAGAGTTGTTCAATGACATCGATTTTATGTTTTATTTTGAGAAATTAGAAACCATTTCATTTAATTGTTTCCAGGGATATAAACCTGCCAATGAGGAGCCATCGGAGTATCAGACGATACCACTGAACAAGATCGAGGATTTTGGTGTTCATTGCAAGCAATATTATTCTTTGGAAGTGTCTTATTTTAAATCTGCACTTGATAGACGATTGCTCGATTCATTATGGAATAAATATTGGGTGAACACCTTGAGCTCTTCTAGCTTACTAACAAATGCAGATTATACTACCGGTCAGATATTCGACTTGTCCGATAAATTGGAGCATTCGGAATCGGCTTTGGGTAGAGGATTTGTTTTTGGTGGTACGGATCCTCATGATCGTAGTACAGTGGAAAAACTCATAAAGGCGACCAGAGACAGTTGTAAAACCACCATCGAAGTTATTCATGGTTTAATGGCGCAAATAATCAAGGATCGGTTATTCAATCACGTTGGTAGTAATGCGTCTTGTGATCCTCAGCAAAAGTAATAAGATTCTTTGTATAATGTGTGTGATAATTCTACTATGAAATGTGTATTTGTAATAAATATATGTATCCTCCTTTAAAATTTATATTATTAAAACGAGTATATCACGAAGCCTGATCAAAATTTCTTGATTATTAGGACTTTCTGTTAAGAAAATTTATTTAAAAATTAAAATTAATATGCAAAACATAATGTAAGTATTAATTATTATAGTTAAGAGAATATCAGCATTCGATAGCTCTTACAGTCTCCCTGAGGAAGTTTTGAGTACACAAATTCGGCAGATTTCAAAAATATAGTGGAATAAAAATACATTTTATTTTCACACCTTGATTCACTAAAAAGTATATATACAGCATTTTTATCATTAATCAATATCTTCGTGTATTTATATATTTATAGGTATGTTTATAAAACTAATATGTAATATTCAGAACAAGTAGGCAGAGCAAAACACCCACTGAAGGGCTGACGCGCTGTGTCACAGACTTTTTAAGGACAAGGCCACTCAGAAACGCACACCCACCTGTTCTATTATATATATATATTTCTATACCTCGCACGCGCGCGCGCGCGCACTCGTATCTCGCACAACGTATAAGGGACGGAGCTGAAATGCATACAGTTATATACTCAATCAATCATAAAGTTATACAGAAACAAAAATCGAAAAGTTATACAGAAGGTATCCCTATTAGAAATCGGAGAAGAAAACGGCTGTAAAGAAAAGATCGCCAGAACGGCGCTCTTGAGAAATGGATCTTTATGCTATGTACATACATTTATGTCGCGTCACACTATCATATCCTCTCAGTGAGTAATTCACAATTAAATAATTAAGTACAACAGCGTTTTAATTTAATTCATAAGAAAGTCTACAGAAAATAGATTATCTGCAAACCTGGTTTTGCCAAACATTCTATTGCTCTTGACATTTTTTTTTTTTCTAAATTGTATATCTATTATAGAGCTTACATTTGTGCTCATTAGACATAAAAATTCGACAAAATAAATATAAAATCGTGTGAATATTGTAATGTTAAATGAGCGAGTTTTCCGTACATCTCTCTTTTTCTCCCTTTCTTTCTCTCTTCAGTATTCAACATATTTGTACAAGTAATATTTTTGATGTTATAAACAATTCATATTGAATAAAATTAGAATTCCAAAAGGTAATAAGAATCATGTACATGTTGCTTCGCTGTTAATTTTATGTTAGTGTTTACTGTAACTTAAAAGATAGACTATTGTCGACATATACAATTGTTTTTTTTATGCTGTGACTTTCGTAAAAATAATGATAGAACTAATCGGTTGTTTAGCAAGTCGCAGATGTGAAATCAAACTTCAATATACATCAAACTTTCCATTTCTTTCTTGCAAAACAATTTTACAGAGAATATCGGAGTTATAATTCTAATCATATTTCCATTTTAATTCTCGTATTATAAAATCAATTTAATAAAAGTATAGAAATATCGTTGGTTTTTCGCGTGAATTAGTATTATTCGGACACGATGAACAGGTTTGGACCATTAACGAAATCCCGATTTTTCATAATTTTTCGGATTTTCAGCAAAGTTTAGCATGCATGCATACATACGCGCGACAGATATAACATGACAATTAGAATTCAATCAGCCCTCCAATGTTATTCTATACTCTGAATACGAATTCGAAACTGTGTACTCGCGCACGTAATACACTTATGCACTGTAGGCGTTGTGTGTGTGTGTGTGTGTGTGTGTGTGTGTGTGTGTGTGTGTGTGTGGTATGATGTGTCATGTATGTGTCATGTATATTTGCATGTGTATATCTTTTTCCCCAAAAAATGATATCTCTCTTTTTCACTCAAAGACGGAAACTGGATATTCTTGCATTTGCGTTATTGAATTAACAGGTCTATCACGTATATATGTAAAGAGTCTCATCTCGCATATTTTTCCTTTTCTATCTCTCTAATCGCATGAACATTCCCTCACCTTTCTGATTACCTAATATTTACAAGACGATCATTCGCGAGTCGTCTGCGATGATTTACTTACAAATACAGCGGTAGAAAAGATCGATTTTTGTTACAGCGCCTTCTCGTAGATAACTTTTTGGGGCAACGACAGAGCACTTTTGGTGACGAAACCTCCGGTCCCTTTGAATTTCTTTTTTCTTTTTTATTCTGTTCTGTTGTTCTCGAGTGGCGTGTGATGTGTTTCTATTGTCCTCTCTTACTCGTTTTCCTATGTCCTTTCGTTTTCTATTTTATTTAATCTACATGAGAAATTACGCGCTAAATTAGTAGCCGTAAAACAGCGGGAATGCAATCGATCAGAATACGATATCTCTCTCCGCATGTTTCGGTTAGAAAAAATATTTACATCTTTCTCTCTTTCATCACGTGCGGCACATTTACGAAACCAAAGCACTTACACACTCTCATTGTAACGAAGCTACGCGAGAAAGATATGGACGACAGTAACGATATATAATTTCCGAAGGATCGCGGCGTTAATATCACGTTACCCGCAACAGCTTTAATACTCGCGAATACTTCTCTTTTCATCACGAACAAGATTTCAGACTATACCAAATTGTACGCGAAATTAAATCGTCATACTTTTGACAAATCCAATCTTCTTATAAAGTCATTTAGGTCATGCCTTGTCGGTGCCGCGCATAGAAGGATTTAATTGCTTAATCAAACGTCTCGGTGTGTGTGTGTGTGTGTGTGTGTGTGTGTGCGTATGTGTTCAATATATCCATTTGTCAAGTTGTATGTTTCACTATTCTTGTTTGAGACGAAATTATGTTTCTTTCTCTTTTTTTCTCTTTCTTCCTTTCAGTCTGTTTAAGACTTGATTAATTATTTTTAGGCAGGCATATGTACAAATGTATTTTGTATTACATCTTGTCACTGCGATGTCGAAACGGGGAAATTATTAACCTCCGTTTGTTCGAGAACTGGTCCAGCCGGGCCCGTATATGATATACGCAGTCTCATCCTTAATTGTGTCTGAAAAATAAAAAGACATTTGTTGAAAAGGGGTTAAATTCAAACGATTATTTTATGTACAGATAATGTATTAAAAACTGACTCTATTCATATTTGTCACTCTCAACACTTGAGTTACTTGACCAGATGGCGGAATGACAGTACTCGATGGCGATAACATTTGTAGTTGGAATGTCTGCAAACGAGAAAAATACATAACGAATATATTAACTCGTTTCGGAATTATAAAAATAAATGCAAATGCATGTCTAACCCTAGGAACTGCTGCTTGAAACAGAAAATCAGTTAAAATGGTGCTTCCAGAGTTTTGAGCCAACATGTTTATGACTAACAGATCAGGAATATCGGGCGGTCTCTCTAATCTGAATGTTATTTTGAGCCCCGATTTATCCAAAACAATCATACTTGGTAGGTCTGCAATAACAATCATAATTACAATAATTTATAACGTTGACAAATTCATAATGTATCTTTAGGTCGTTAAATTCTCTCTAGAATCTACAAACCATTTTGCGCCGTCGGAGTACTGAGCAATCCATCTACTAAGAAGTTGCTATTGCTGGTAGGACTAAACATTGGTGTCGATGCCTGTGGTTGAAGTGGTAGCGTGGGAGCAACAGGCGTAGGCGTATTCAAATCCAAACTTCCAAGTAAATCCAACAGATCATTATTATGTGTTACTGCGGTTGAACTCGGCGAGGAATTTTTGTTGGTCGTCGTCGCCGACGGGACTGTCACTCCCACATCCGTAGTTCCAAGTAAATCTAAAAGTGCACTCTGTAAAAAGAAAGAAAAAAATTGAGATACCAGTAAAACTCTTTTCTTATAGTTAACACAATTTTTTCATATTTTAATATAACGTAATAATACTAGAAATTTTTTATGATTTTTCACTTATGTAGTCATATTGAAAGATATGTCAAGAAGTGTATACTGCTATAAGTGCTTACTGAATCGGATGTGGTCGTGGTTGGTTCCAGAATTGTGGATTTTTCATCTTCTGGTTCTGGTTCGCCGTTCACCATTCCTATGATACCATTAGCTTGCGGTCGCGCGGTTTCCATTGGCGGCATTCTCTCGAGCAACGCTGGCCGCAGGTGATCGTATTTTCGGAACAGTTGCGAAAACTCGATACCTCTTTGCTGTAATTCGATATGTAAATTGCTACCGAATGTATCTATGATCTGACGAATTTTCCTATAAAAGAATGTTACATGAACGTTACAATTATATATGCGATCTTTCTTATATTTATATTATAGATATTAATTATGGATGATCAAAATTGATACTAACTCGTGACCTTTCTGGAACCTCGTGCTTAATTTGGTAAGAGATAATAAAGTGTACTGCTTCGTAATTACAGTGTTTTGTGGGTTCCAGAGTAACCTCTGATACACATCGATGATTTCATCCTCTGTCAACTGATAAAGAAAAGAAAATTCAAAAATTATAAAATTACAATTAGATATCTAAAAGCATGACAATTTTTAAAAATTTTTTAAAAATATATAATTAATGTAGAAAAGAAATTTTCCAAATTTTCAGAATTATGATGTTCTTATATATGTAAATATTATTATTGCTGTGCTGTAACTTACATTAACTGGAGTCTCGGCGTCTTCCGATGATGGACCATATAACAAAAGATCACCATATTCGCCGATGCACCACGTGGCAACTTGCGCTAAGGGCTGTTTATCAGACGTGTCCTTTTCTAACGCGCGCCACAACGCGCTAACAGCATAGCTTTGCTGTGATTGCGTTTCCGAGATTAATTGTATCGTGCACGCCACCACGTCATCTCGCACATAATTACCAGCCTGAAGATTGAAAATAGTTTTAATAATCGTAATTTTTATGCCCGTAATTTATATCTCGCCTTATGATTCAATAAAAATACACACCGCGACGAGTACTTTAAACAATGTTTCGAGATGCCAACGTTTATTTGGAGCGAATCTCTCCGCAGACATGACGATATTGCTACTGCACTGAGCCTTGAATTCTGGATCGGCTCGTTCCAAGAACAAGAGCAATTCCTTCATCATGTTTCTAATATTGTTGGAATTCACAAGGGCGAAACTCAGTTCCATTGCGCGTCTTCTGATCGACACATCTGGATCCTTTAAACATTCCTAAAATACGCCGAGAGAATATTTTAACCAATGAATAATTTTATCTCCATCTTGAAAGATCTATAAAAATGAATATTTTACTAGAATCGTCGATCGATGCCTCTGCACTGCGCTCGTATCCACATAAACCGTCTTTAACAACGTGTTCAATGCCACGTATCTAATATTCTTGTCGTTATTCAATAGAAATCTGCCCAATATGTTGACTGCTAAGACTCGAAGTCCGCTCTCTGACTTGATGTCCATGATCGATAGAACCGTCTCATAGAGTATAGTATTACCGACGTTTTTGCTGGTTTCTGTATTAGTGGCGACTTGAGCAAGGATGTCATTCATGGCTTCAGATGCATCGACGTCATTACGTCCCAGGATGCGTAAAAGACGTAGTATTTTCACTTGAAGGAACGGATCCGACACTCCGGATACGTCATGCTCGGGCGAATATCCGGCTAGGATCAGATTCTTCAAGATTCTTACGAGATTTGGCACAATCTGTAATGAGACCTCTATTTATCTCCATTTAATTCTAAAGAGATGCTGTATAAACTCTCATTTAATTCAACTATCAACATCGACTATAGGAAACATAGGAAACAAGATCGACAGAATAAGTCATTGCGGAATAACGTACATATACTTTCACGTAACGTAACACAATACGCACAATAATTAATTCAGGTAACACGATAAGAGAAATTAATCTCTATGAACAAAGTAAGATAAACGCAGCCATAAGAAATATCATCATGCAGATAGTACACATTTATAACTATAGTAACATCTCTAAATATATATAACTATTTCCATTCCAATAAAAAATTCATATATATATAAAATCTTATAATGTCTATACAATACAGATAATTTAATATTTTTAATCATAAAAAAATAACATGACAAAGCAGACGACGTTGATTTCATGTTTCGATAATTTAAATGTTCATTTCGGACAAAGTAAAAGAAAAGAATGAAGTCTGTGAGTAATAAGCATACATGCAAAGATACTGAAGAATCTTTATATGCATATTACCTCACGATGGCCGCATTCCTATGAAAGATAAAACCAATGCTTATATTACGTACGTATATGTTTGAAGATAATAAAACTTTGTGTCAAACTTCATAAAAAATATTGCACAATTGCATAATTGTTGTATTATCAAATGTCTTTTTCTTTTTTAAAAAAGAAAGATAGAAGAGAAACTCGCACAAGTTTATATCAAAGCTGTTTAAAATCTATTTAAAACAAAGAGTATATATTACAAATGCAAATGAAAAAACGTGTTTGACATTTCAATGTTATATTAACATAAAGCGCAGAGAAAAATCTTTTCCGTCTGTTGTTTATAAACTCGTAAAGAATTCTAAAATATTCTTTCGATCAATTGTTTCAACGTATCTGTGCTCATATAAAAGATAAGACTGCATTCTTTTCCGTCACTATTGTTAACGGATCATGATTATCTGGCAAGCACAAGTTTCATTTCCTAGCTAATAAATAATTCCACTACTATGCACTAGATACTCTTTTTAGCGGGTTTCTCTATTACTATCTAACTTGATATCGGCTAGACTAGATAGATCAACTTATACAGTCGTACAACAGTCGATCAGTTATGTAATGCAATACTATGCCTCGGATAAAATTTACGACATCGAACTGTATGAGAACCTGTTTCAGTTTATTATATATCGCGCATCAAACGCACATTGAGAGTCTCTCAATATACCTTTTTGAAGTGATTCAGCGTGTCGATGCTGTTTTCGCACATCTCCGTAATAAGGGTGACACCGGTGATTAGAACCCCATGATTTTTTTCGGTGATCAGGCTGCGAGTAGCCGGCAAAAACATTTCCATCAGTTCTGGCACGCGTCTAATGATCCTAAAAGCACAAAGCGCCGCTTTTTTCCGGATATACGCGTTCGGCGATTTCATCAGTCTCTCCACCTCAGACGCCAGATCCCTCGCCATTTCCGGCGACGCGATCGCCCCAAGAGTACACAACGCCAGACCGATGACGAATTGCGTGGAACTATTCAGATCACTGCAAATAAAAACAAGAGAAACTTTAAACATCTTTTTCGAAGACTAAAAAAATAACGACGTTGAAACAAAGCGACATTACTTTTTCAGACAATTCGTAATTAGGAGATGTACGTCTTGCCGCTCATCTAATAACAGCATGGCCCCCAAATAACCGATCCGTTTATCGGTGAATCTGGGTGAAGCAATAAGCTTCAAGCATTCCAATTGACCAAAATGCGCCGGATATCTGAAACAACATCAACGTATCTTCTTGATAATATCAAGCCATACATTTTATATATAATTAGTATTTTGATACAAACCCCAACATATGAATGTACAGTAGCTTGGCGATATTACGACATCTCCACACACTGTCCTCTTCCCTAAATGTCGAGCGGATATACGCGCATTCCTTGTTCACGACTGTTCTCTCTTCCGCGGCCGTTCGTGCAGCCCGTATTTGCCTAATTAGATCCCTCAGACGCGTCGGTGCAGGCATCCTAACTGTCGAGACTTTCAAAGTGTGAAAAGGTTATCAGTATAAAGTGACATTATCTTTGGTAACTGTTGATTCCGCTTGCAAATAATTTTGTAAATTAATGAATTGATGAACGTAAAAAAAGAGAGACAAAGAAATACAAATTCTTGAAGACTTGGAAAAAGTAAATATCGTTCTCTTAAAATTTATTTATTAAATATTGTGTAAAAATGACAATTTTGATATTTTCGAAATAGAAACGAAACAATTTCGATCGATTTTCAATATGTGGGAAAGATACACAAGGCAGATACAAAAGGCAGCAAACAGGCAGAATCAATGTTCCAATGATTAGCTATTACAGCCATTGTGATTCAATTACACTAATATAAACCTACCTCTTTCCACAGCCTCATTGAAAGCCTGTTTTATGGAGGCCATATTAAAGGCTGGGTTAAACCTGAAAAAGGTACACACCCATGCTGTTTTATGAACGTTAACATTCCTATCTACTAAATCTATCTTATCGTGCAATGACACTTGATTACACTGTGCCTAACCTTACTGCAACCAATTTTATATCTTGCAGTAGAAAATAGCTAAGAACAAAATGCATCTCCATGGTAAATCGCATTGATTCATATATTAAAAGATAGATATTTCATGATCATTATAAGAGTGATAAAATTAATTAATCTCAATATTCTAGATTTTTTCAATACATCGGAGACAAAGATACTACAATTAGTTTCTCTCACATCTTCCTTGCTCGTATAAGTTGAAAATTATCCTAAATATATGCATACTTGTGTGAGACTGTATAATTATGCATTACCCATGTTCTGAAGCATTCATTGTTTCTCGAGTTGAACTCCAAACCTATGTCACAACGAAAACCAAGCGTAGACGAGTACAAAACACGAACTCTGCTATCCTCCTAGTGGACACGATGACAACATTATAGAGTACATTAGTATTACAGATAACATAAATCAAGTCAATGTATCAAAGAAGAAATTAATCTCTCATGCTGTAATATGAGAGTTATAACTTGGATTTCATATACATAAATGTTCTATGGATATTTGATTCTTTGTTCTGTTTTGTCAAGTGACTTTGTAATTATTAGTTGTAACATTTTGCATACTGCCTTCACAAATGTCTTTTACAAAATCTTTTAGGATTCTTGATTACTTAAAGAATACATTTTACTTTTTGCAGGATAATCAATTTCATTAATTATGCATGAGAAAATGTAAAATACCGATAAAACTTGAACATTTCTCAAATCTTTTTGTTAAAAATATTTTAAACATATGATTAACTCTTGAGAAAAAAAAATCTAATCATAGCAGCCACTCGGAAAGAGAAAGGTGATTTAAGCATCAAGATTACCTTAATTGGGAACTCGCCAGTTCAAATAACTGACAGCTGTATGTCACAATCAGCGATCGTAGCACTCTATTAAACTTGAACACGACGACAGAAAAGGCAGAATGCAAGAAAGCAACTCCAACGTGCTTTGTCTGAAATAAATCATCGATTTGCGAACGTGGTGGACACGCGAATACATCGAATATCACGTCGTTACTTAGCAGAAGCGTGAAGGACGACGTACCGGTCTTAGATCGAATCAGCAGAATGCGGGGAACACAGGCGGTTTAACCAGAGCGTGATGTCACTCGTTCGTGCGATTTAGTGCGCTAGAATCTCGGCCACGACGGTATGTTGCAAAATCACGGCTGACTTACATAAAAAAAGAGCCGCGCGAAGGACTCGAGCCGAGGGTTGGCCCGCGGTTGTCAAACGTCGCGCTCCCTCATGCGAGGAGGAAGTTGGAGCCGCGGATTACGTCCGGGAGAGGGGAAGTCCGTCATGAACGTCGCCACGGTGGGTCCGTCCGGAAGCCAGCGTGACGTATTGTCGCGCAGTCACGGGGACGAACGTTGTACACGCGGTGACGGAGGCGGACATCGAATATAAGGAGGGGGAAGGAACCTTCATCCGTCGCGTGGCACCGTTGCGGCTGCTCGTCCAAGCGAGGATCGCGTGGATCGCGACCCGCGTGTTTACATTACGGCGACGAGACGACGCAGAACCGAAGTTGGAACGGAATCAAGTCGAGTTGAATCGAATCGAGCAACCGCAGCGAAGTCGGCGCTCTTAGGATCACCGCGCGAGTCCTCGATAGGCGCGAGCCGTGCGCCCTCACGCTCCTGCCGTCGCGACGATGCACTCGAAACGCCACCGGTCATCCGTCCGTCTGCTTGTCCGAATACCCAACCCGAAGGTTCGGCGGGCGCTATCCGCGCCAAAGATAACGACGACGACGACGTGGATACGTACCGTAGCAGCGCCGTCGAGTCCCGTGAAGGCGGAGACTGATCGCTAATCCGCGGTTGCGAACCCCATAAATATAGCTCTGCTTACGCGAAGTCCCTACCCACACGGACCACGCACACACTGGCACCCTGGCAGTCCGCCACCCGCGCGATACCGAGCCGCCTAACGACGTGTGCTCTCCCTTTCTCCTTCTATCTCTCTTTTTCCTTCCCTCTCGCCCTTCGCTCTCCTTATCACCCTCTGTCTCTTTCTTTTTCCTTGTTCCTCTCTCTTCCCCGTCTGCCTCGTCGACGACAGGAATTCGCGTGCTTCCGTGCGCCGCGACGGGAGAGAGCTCAAAGATGGCCGTCGACGTCGTCACAGACGTCGTCACCTTAGGGACTTTCCACTTGGGTAACGCGGGACGTGGTGATCGTAAGACACCGATCGGAAATCAGCGGCAGATTCTAACCTCGCGCCCGCACTAATCTCGCGCGAAGGATGGCGAGAGGGCGAGAACGAGTCGATTGAGCGTTAAAAAAAAATATCGTCAATGTGGTACCACTGCGCATCGACCGCGAGATTTGAAACGCCACGAAAATGCAAATCCTCCGTTAAATTGATTTTCTGCGAGCAATACGGAAAAAATGAATCTCGCACCGATCGTTTCGCACGCGATCTGGAGATTCACAGAATTATGGGATCTTTCTAACCTGAGAGCAAAGCTTTGCTTCTGTTTCGCATGATAAGATAACGTGATCTCGCTATATTGTTTGGTCGGCATAAGGGCTATAGCTCTCCTCTGATAAAGTGTCATTGCACGACTAATGATATGACTGTATTACTTTTCTACAGGTACAACTCACACAGAAACACAACTAAGAGATGACACAGGTATTATCTGGGTTGAAGTGACTCGATAAAAAATGATAGATTTATAATAATTTTCATATTTCTCATATTAAATATGATTACCAATACACGCAAATTTTGTATGAGATATACAAGATTATATAGAAATAATTATATCTAAGTAAAAATTGAAGTCGATAACTACATTGAGCGTTTTGTGGTATACAAGCTAGAAGTTTTGCTGATCTATCTCTCTCCTGAATATTTCTTAAAATCCTGCTCCGGATAATAGCAATCCTCGAAAAGAGATACAGCTATATGACGCACATTTCCGTGTGATAAATGTCTCCCATCTGCTACATTATAAATTTAAAAAAATTACCTCCTGTTGAGTTCCGGTGGCAAGACACTCCAATCCTCGGCGTCATAGTAAGGCCACATGGTGTGATAATGTTAAACAAATAAGGAGCTTACAGCCGAAAAGACATGCACAAAAATCACAATCTATATATCAAACAGGAGACAGCCGCGCGATCAGTCTTGTAGGCTCTTTATCACTAACATAATAGAGTACAAGGTGTGGGCATTATCTCTTATCTCTCGACTTGATATCAGACATTCACACTCACACAAATCTGGTATTGGCGATCCTAGTAAGATCTGATAGTATCAATCATTTCACAACGGTAAATTTTGGAATGTTCCTAGAGAGTTATAAATATGTAATGTTTACTTTTTGAATTTAATATATTTTTACATAAGGGGAAAGTAGATGTATATTCAATAAGAAAAAA